GGGCTTTTCCAGCCGAGCGATTCTGTGTGATATTGATGCGTATATTTGAGACTGCAAGTTACTCTCTAATGGAAGAAGGATGACTGTCTCTGTAACTTCTGCTTCTGTTTTGTTTTTAAACTAGTACAGGCAATTAAAGAACATATCCCTGGGGACGCTTGGTTACGAACATGAAGGGTCAGGTTTAAAGATCTGTAAACAACAGTACAAGAAAAGCACGATGCTTCCCTCCAATGGCACGCTGAACATAGATGTTTCTACTGAAACAGGTATGCCACTGTTGTACTGAAAATGTCTTGCTGTGTGGAGTGCTTATACGCTAAATCAGTAAAGTTTAAAACCAATAGCTTTTTGCACGGCAGTCATAGGAACATTAACATGCGTTTTGCCTGTTTCCCCTCTTGGTTTTTAGTGCCTGCCTAGAGATGACAACTGTGTAGACTGTAGTAAGCTCTTTTCAGCTGCTGTTGTTAGTGAGTTTGGGGGTTTTTTGTTTGGTTTTGTCCCATGTGTTGCCCTCCTATGCAGAAGGTTGAATTACAGAGTTCTGGATGCTGATCAGTATCTGTGTGTGTAGGTGTCCTTATCACCTCAGAGCTGGGTCCTTGCTGTTAGCCCCTCAAGATTTACTACATGAAGCTGCTTCTGATACCACGAGCTGGGGCTCTCTGTGCATAGGTTTACTCAAAATTAACACTTTGCCTGATGAGGACTTACCATTAAACCTGATTATCTCAGCTTTATGTTGCTTTCTGTGTAAGTTTTTAAGGTTACACCTTTTCCTCTTCTCCTCCCAGAATGTGTCTTTTTTAAGCCGCAGGAGCTGGCTGGTAAGAAGGCTGAGCTGAAGCTGAACTCCTCTTTCTTCAGTCTTGATTTTTACAGGTAAAGTATGGTGGGGATTGCTTTATTTTTAACTTGTCCTTTCACATGAATATGGTGGATTCTGAGTTGTGCAGTTTTCTTGCTCTGTATGTGTGTATTTATATATATATTTATATACTTTTTAAAACATTCAGGCTTATACAGGTTGAAATCTCCTTCAAGCTGAAAGGCATTGCTCTGCAGACAATCCATGCGCGTGAATTGCCTGACTGCTATGCATTTCAAAATACTGTGAGTATGGCACCTCCAACACTGTATATATAACAAGACCTTAAGCTAAGGGGTGGTCGTCATCCTCGTATTCAGACTGTAAAGCAAAAGCAGTTGAGTGTATCATGGCCTTTACTCCTCCTTCCCAAAGGTTGCTGGAATGGTGTTGCCATGAGACAGTATTTATTTTTTTATCATATTCCAGCTGGTAACCTCATAACCTGAGAAGGACATCAGTAATTGTTACTCTTCTAAGGGTTAAACTTGAAGTCTGAGTCCTCGGAGTCCTGGTTTTTATGCTATGCATGACATGATGAGTACACCAGCACTTGTGGTGACAGCTTTCTTAAAGGTTACTTGACCAACAAATAATATCAAAGCACCTACCAGGGTTTTCTTCACGGTATGAAATTTTGTTGGTCCTGTTTCTGATTGACACTTTTGTTTCCAGATAACTTTTAATAATAGAGCCCACAGTGGAAAAATCAAAATCTATTTTGATAGCGACACTGATATTCTAGAATGCAAAGACTGGCACGTATTTGGCTCTGGTAAGCGTGGCGCACGTGTGTTTGCGTGATAGCAGTGTTACACATCGTCTGTTGTTTCCCTGCTCTGTAACTGTCTAGTGAGACATTCCCCATCCTGCTCACCAATCGATGTGAGTAAGCCGAGGAAAACACCTGATTTGGGTTCATGTGATGGCTTATAAACCTATGGACAAAAAGAATATAGTACAGAAAGTCAAACCGGTTTCTGGTTGCAGGTCATGAAATGAGAAATGAGGTGGGATTTTCTTGTTTGGTTTGAAGTTAATGTTGATATGGACCAAAGTCTGTGGGGTTCTTTTGCCCGATGTAGTTGTAACACTTGGAGTACAGGTAGACAGATGAACTTAGTGCAAAAAGAGGACATTTGTATTAATAAACCCATTTTTGGGTTTATTTTGAAGGACTTGAACATGCTTTTCACTCTTGTGGCCTAATCTCCATAGTTGCAGAACAAATATTTCTTAAAACTCGCTTATTTGTGGGGTGAAACTGTTTAAATGCAAAATACGTGACATTTTAACAATTTGTGCTCAGAGATATGAGAGAAGCCTAATTCTTACTTCCTTTTTTTGTCTCTTTACAGTTCTGCAGAAGAACACTCAGTATCTTCTGGTCTTTGATGGATTTGTCATTTTAAGCTGCGTTGTTTCTCTCATCCTCTGTTCGCGATCCATTGTTCTTGCCTTGAGACTACAAAAAGTGAGTACATCGCCCGAATGCTTATTCAGACTCTGTTGTGCTTCTAGTCTTGTCAAGTGACATGCTTGGAAATATTGGGTAGTGTCTGTTGCAGGGTTTTGCTCTCTTACTGTGTCTCTGTCTGGAAAGGTTGTATGGATGTCTGTGATGAACAGTTGCTGGCCGAATGGGGTTTAACTTCTGTTTGTTTGGTGCTATAATACAAAGTATTTTGTTGTATCTCTCCAGGGCAAAGGAAGGAGACTTTTTTTTTTCCCCCTATGACTTTATTTTCTCCAGGATTTTACACATAAAAACTTTCCGAGTCTTTGTGCTGCTAGCAGCCAACACATCCTGCACCCTCAAAACACGAATTCTTCCTTCCCTGGCTTTGGCTTCAGAGTAGAATTCCCATAGAGGTCATGTCACAAACCAATGCTTTAATGAACATCCCTCAAAGCCAGGTCTAACTAGAGGAAGTGTAAAGCATAGCATGTGGTCTAACTCTCGCTGGGGTTTTTTTTTGTTTTTTATGGTGCTGGAACCACCCTTTTCAGTTCTTTCCTTCTCCCTCCGCAATCCCAGATCATGATCTGCTGTCACCTTCCTTCCTGCTCGCCCTCCTTTGCGGACTGAGCGTAGCCCTGCCTGCAGGGATGGGAGCTGGAACAAGAGTGCAGCATGGGTAGGCTGTGAAGGCACACATACTTGTTTGTCCTGTTCAGTACATCCTTTTTGCAGTGTGTAAACAAGACAGTGGTGAAGAGGACACGATTTGGCAAAGACAGCATCAAACTCCTCTTGGGAACAGGGACATCAGCATTTATTCATGAGGGAAAAAAACCTAAACAACCAAGTGAAAGCAGATAGGCAGTGTAGGGTGTGGGAGGTGTTATTGTCAGCTCTATTGGAAATGAGAGCTCTTGCCTTTTAATTGTGTTTGAGTTATTAATTTTCTTTTTCGGTCCAGTTGTGGGGGCCTTGCTCTGATGAATAGAAACTTTAGTGAAGGGGGCTAGAAGGGGTAACAAGCTATGGTTAGGCTGGTGGGGATTGGTTATGAAGGCAGCTGCTCTATGGAAAGTCGGTTTTCACTGGCCTAAACCTATCCTAGTTTTTTTTCCTATTTTTTTCTGTTACTATTGAGAATGAGTGTAAAGCTATTATTCCAGCACATACTATAGGATAAGGAAAATGAAAAACCTGAGCATTGCTGTACTAGTGGGTGGTGTGTACGTGTTTTCCACCTAAGGGGGACCTGTAAATAAACATCTAAATGCTTGTCAACAGAGATTTGTGAACTTCTTCTTGGAGAAATACAATCGTCGTGTCTGCCATGCTGATCGCTTGGAGTTCATTAATGGGTGGTATGTCCTGGTAATTATCAGTGATGTGATGACAATCATTGGGTCAATCCTAAAAATGGAAATAAAAGCCAAGGTGAGAGCTTAATACTTCAGATAAAATACTAGTCTTGTTACAACCACGTATAGTGTGTTTTAACTGGAGGACAAATGACAGTGAGCTGGCATAGTCACTAGTCATCTTGTTTGGTTTTGCTAGTTCTTATTTCTTCATTTCCTAGTACTTGTTTGACTGACAACTGGTTTTAGTCCCTTTTCCCCAAAGTCTCTCAGTAATTGATGTAAGTGATTTAAACACTTTATTTCCACCGAGCTAAGTCCCCTAATCTCTGGTGTAGGACCTGCGAGTACACAGTTCCTAACAAAAAACAAACAAACCCAAAAACCCCCTAAACAAACAACAAAAAAACCCTAAACAACAACAACAAAAAATGCACCCCACACAAAACAAAAAGAAAGAATTTGAGTTGTGTTATTTCTGTAAGAAGGAGTAGTACACATT